CCAGATAAGCAGGGATTAACACCAGACAAACTAGCAGAAAACAATACCTTAATCAAGGAACTACCAAGGAGAAAAGTGCACTCCCACCAACACTGGCAGGGCAAGCTGCTGTATTGAAATGGAGTAACCCCACACTCACTTGTACTGATGTTACTTAGTCTGGTAATGAAATGTCTGCAAGCAAACAGCCAAACTCAGCACAGAGGACTCCACAGTGCAACCCTGAGCTATATATATATTCTCTTCTATTAGAACTTTGGCACTGGCTGCCACCGTTATCATTTGCATTTAGTGGACAGTTTATCATTTCTAGAATTGTATTTGCTGTGTCTTAAACTGCTTTCATAAGCTGTGATTTGGTAATTTTTTCCCTCCATTAGAAGCTTTGTATGGATAAAATATGTCCTTGATTGGGGATAGAATTTTTCTTCCTTAATACTTCTTTTATCAGTGTAGACAATTAATATGTGTTTCGCAGACATTATCCAATCAGAATGAAGTGCTTCAGAAAAAAATCAATGAGATTTTAATTAAAAAACACCTCTTGTTGAAATCAATGGAACTTTAATTTGCTTAATTTTGGATGGATTATACCTAATACAATGTTGATGATCTTGTAAACTTTCGGAAGTACTATTTCTTTGATTTTTCTTTTTTCTTTTTTTTACATTAACTTTTTTGGGATGAAGTTTGAATTAAATTATCTTGGGAGTGACTGAGATTTCTCATGCAGAACAGGCATCCATTATGATTTACAAAACAATAGAGAATATGGATAGAAGGTAACTCCAATTATTGGTGACAGACTTTCTTTCCAGGTGCTGAAGTTGACTAAACCTAAAATCTAAATAAGTAGGAATTAAAGTTTTGTGCCTCTGTGTTGCGAAGTACCACATAACCAAATGTACTGTAGTTTTCATTTATTAATTTAGCACTGGGGTACTGGATTAAGTAACAGCCTGCTTCTCTCTTGCTTCTTTGATATATTAATCCTGTTTTCTAAAAACTGCTGAAGAGTATTAAGAGGGAACATGCATCAGTTTCTCTCCTGTAATTAATCTCTCAGGGCTTCTTCACCCCACCTTCTGCCTCCTTTTCAGTTCTTAACTGATCTACTTAACTGTCACGGAACTTTCTGAACCTTTTAAGAGCCCATGTTAAACCAGGGGATAAAACTTTTTCCTTGCATCAGAAAATAATATACAGTTGAGTGTTTAATGCCCTACAGATAATTCATTTTCTTTGTACCTCAGCTCAACTTTGAAACAGGAAATGGACATTTGGTGCTGTAACTTCAGAATAACTTGTCCCAGATTCACCTTTGATAGTTCTCCATTGTAACCAGCTAAAGGGACTTCCAGAAACGGTTCTTCTGTTATTTTCTTGATAACTCTGTGTGGTTTCTGAATTGCTAGCTCTGTAGCTTTAACTGTGTGTGCAGCTTTTTTTAAAGAGTACTCTGCCATCCTAAGTGGGGAAAAAAGGGTATTGAATAACCAACTGTTAGAAGAACAGATAAATTTAAAAACGCAGTTCTGTATAAAGCATGCCTTGTGGCAGAGCAAAAATGCATTGTTTGTTCTGAGTTGTACCCCTCCCCAGAAATCTGGAATCACTTTTTTGTTGGTTTTTCTCCTTAGTAAACTTCTAATTTTCCTTAGTTTTTCTCCCTTTAATTTCTCTCTTTCTCTTCCCCCCTTTCTTTTTCCACTCCCCAGTTCCTCCCGAGCAGTCAACGTGTATGTGTGTACGTGTGTGTGTGTCTATGTGTGTACACCCACACACATTTTGGGATCTAAAACCTGCTAATGATGTGGGTTTGGCTAAGAGTTCTTGTTATGGGAAACATGAGCCCTTCAGCTGTGCATGTGTGGAAGGGGGCAGTCTTTGGAGGGCTTTGCATATGTTTGTACAGACACTCTCAGAGCAACTAATAAATGTTCCTTCCCCTTAAATAGCGTTTCCCCTGTGCTCTACAATCACAAGTGAAGAAAATCTTTTATTTCACCCTGTGTTGTTGATTCCATTCAGAAATGTTCAGGTTTCATTTCTGCCTCCCTGCTCCTTTTTCTCTCTGAATGCAGTGTGGATTTCACCTTGTCCTCATATGGCAGCCTCTCCTGCATTGTGCTGCTGACCTTTCATTTTTTCGTCTGGTTGCTCAGATACTTCTTCCTCTCTCCCTTCACTGATAGAAAACTGATTCTTGAACACAACCCTTGCTTTCCTAGCAAATAATGGTTTTTGCTGGAGTTAAGTGACAGTTGAAAGTGCTCTGTGAGGTTAACTAACTTCTTTTTAGTCCCCTAACTACATGAGAAAGATTGACTCTTGTAACAAGAGAAAACATGAATGTTCCAGCATGATAGCTACTTTTTACAGATGAAAATTAAGCCTAAGGCAAAGGTGGGGACTTAGTTCCCAGAATTACCCGGACAACATAGCCATTGCTGAGAATTCTGGGAATTGGACCACTCACATGGGGGATAGCGAGATTGGGGAAGGCTGGGTAACAATTTTTTTATTCTGGTTAGTGATGCTTGCCTCTGGATTCTCTGCTTCAAAATATAGGTTATTGTTGATATTGCTGCCAAAATACAGATTACTGAAAGTGCCAACACATAGTAAGTGCTTGGGAGAAGAGGAAAAAAAGAATGTTAGGGCATGTATTTGTGGTATCAATAAGTCAGCCTTCCCAATTTGTTACTTTCAGAAGAGTTGGGACTATAAATCTCATAGATCCCAGCCAGCATAAAAAAGATAAAAATGATGTAATTTCAGAAAATATTGCTGCCATATCATATTACAGTCAGCTCCATTCTCCCTCTGATTTCACATTAATGCCAACTGGGTTTTTTTGTTTTCTTTGGCATTTTCATGCGCATCTTTGCTCTGCTTTTAATACTTCTTTGTGCTTGTTTTTTATTTGTGTCAGTGTGTTTTAAGTAATGTAAATTACTATAAATCTTCATGAGAGAGCAAGCCAAAACTGTGCATTGCTTAAGCATTATTAGAGGCAGGAGTGAGCTTGGAGGTGGGCAGGATATAAATCCAACAGATATAAGAATTGTTTTATTGTTTTGTTCTTATAGCCTCTCGATGGTTTGCATGAAAAAGGGATGGTTGAAGACCTACACAACAGTTCCATGAAGACTGCAAATATGCGACCACCTCATCCTGGCATGGCACCACCTCAGAGTCCAATGGATCAACACAGTCAAGGTTGATATCAGACATAGCTTTGTGCTATTTTAGATTATTCTTAAAACTGTAAAATTATATGCCTCATTTGACATGAGAGCTGATGGCTTTTAAGCACTGTTGAATTTGTGTTACAGATAAACCTTTAAAAATATAAATAAATTAATATCTGCTATAGGATGTTTGTTTGAAATGATAAGTTCAAAAAGAGATGCAGAAAATGGAAAATTAAGAATTTTGTTTTTCTTAGGCATTTAGCAGGATTCATCACCTTTGGGACTGACAATCAGATTTCAGGTCTAGAGAGGGCAATATGTGGTTCGTCATTGCTTTGAATGCAGAAAGCCACATGCTTATGTTGGGCTAGGAAAGAACTCTGAAATATGGAAAGTATTATTGATTAACATAGACTAGCTTTCCCCTGGCACTATTCTGATTGGGAATTATGGGGATTGCAAACCCAACATATCTGAAGGGCACCAGATCCAAGAGAGTAGATGAAAACAGTGTTCCTGAGTACTTTGAGACCATTGGTCAATCTACTGTAGTATATTCTGCTTTGACAATTACTATTCTAGCATTACGGGTGATCTGAGTTTCTTCAGTGATATCAGTGGACAAGAATTAGGTCCATATCTAACTGGCTGACCTTATTTGGGCTTGGATGTTAAGCAGAATCAGGATTGGTAAATATTTGGACAAGTGACCAGGAAACACCAGGGCTGTAGGCTTGACTGGAAAATTGAAACATATCTGAGAAGGCAATGGCTTCTTTTGCTAAAAAACCCACATGGTTGCAGTACTAGTTGAGCTTGACTTGAAGGAGATTTTACCTTTTAACCAAATATTATCTACGAGTACCTGTGTCATAATAAATAACAACAACAACTACAATAGCTGAAAATGTACATTTTCCAACTTATCAGAGGTGAATGTGATACCAAAAATATTAAAAGAAAAATGAATTATATACAATGAATTTTGAGAAAGGGAAATTCAAAAGACAGTTACATGTATAAGCCAAACTCAGTTGTTAAGATGGAAAAATAACAATGTACAGTTTCTTAATGGGAAAAAATATGAAATAAACTATTGGTAAAACAGCTATGAAATGTAAGAATTAGAAATATGATTTCAGTTATTACATGATCTAGGTCCACCAGTCCAACTTATTAAATGCAACTTTGTGCCTGTGCTTGCACAATCTGCTGACACAAAAAGTCTGTTTAGCATACTCTGCAAGCACAACCCATAAGCTTCTAACTACAGAGCAGTGTGTTCTGAAGTTTTAAAAAAGAAAATCTTACAGTTACCTAATCCACTGGCAAAGAACTGAGAGACGGTTCTTGTAGAATTGGATGAAAATTGGAGGAACTGGTAAAAAAAAATGAGTTAAGTAAAAAAAACTGAAAAATAGTGGAGTGGGGTCTGAATTTCATTATGTAAAATAAGAGTGAATATAAAACTGAGAAAAATGGAAGAGAATTCATTTCATTTCTAATTGTTCAGGTATGTAAGTATTTAGTCCCCAAATGCTAATATGGAGAGACAAAAACAAGGCTGATGTGAAAGCTGAAAAATGGTTTGTTCAAAATAAGTAAATTTCTCTTAAGCGAATAAAAGCAAGATATGGTGCATAAGGTAGACAAAGACTCAGATCCCAAAAGCAAGCAGCAGAAAATTTAAAAGAGAAAGAAAAATAGATGAAGTCCCAGTATTGAGGTACAGTTACGTTTTGGTCCTTGGATAAAGTTTTTTGCCTTTTGATTTCCTGATTTTCCTTATTCACTAAACAATTTGGATTTGAACTAATTAATAGCATGTCAAGAGGCAAAACCACACACAGATATTTTTCTATTGTTTTGGTGAACTGAGCTATTTTCAAGGACACAAAATAAAGGTTGCCTGGAATAAAGATGCACTTTATATATTCTTTTCCTCCATCCTCATCCACTGCCCTTCATCATAACTCTTTTTCGGCATCTCTCAGTCCCAACAGCAAAAGCTTTTTGCCTTTGAGATTCATCTTGCTTTTCAAGGAAATTTCACTTCCATTGCACGGTCCCTTTGTAAGCAAGCTGAACACAGACAGGCAGACACACACACGCACGCACAGACCCCTCTCCCCTGGGACTTAAGGAACAGGACAGAAGCCCTTCCCAGTCCTGGGATTCTCTCAAATTAGTTCTGAAAGGGACTGAAGCAAGGCCTGAGCGATAGCTCCCTGTGCTCACCTTCTCAACTTACCAAGGGTGATTTCATAGGCATTTTGGAGTCGTATTTATAGTTAATGATCTGAACTCTGCCAAAAGTGTATTATAAGACTGCCGTGGGCTTTTTCCAGTGTGGATTCAGTATAAATACTACATCATATCATCTGGGTAATCCTTGGAGGTGAAGCTTTGCAGACTGACTTTGCTGTGAGATTCAGCTGGCTGAGGACGCATGCAGAATATTTTTGGTGGAGGGTGGGAGATGAAACTTGACTAATTTAAAAATGTCAAAATGATCAGTAATATTGAAATGCTTTAAAAGCTGAATTCCAGACTAAAGGTTATTCCTCTCCCCCTGCCCCCTACCCAATTCTGGAGATTAAAAAAAGTAAAGAAGTTGCTTTGAAATTTTTCAGATTCTGGTATCAAGGAGAAAAATACAGAGGAGAAAAGTTTCCTTTTTTTCTCCTTGCTGACTTTTTTTAAACATAATAGTATTGCTGTTCTGGACCCTATCTAAAGTTCAGTATGTATTCATTACTCATGTGCCTTAGTTTTTAAGGAAGATAATTTTCTCCATCTATTTCCCACTTCTAGCATTTTCCTTCTATATTTTTTTATTTATTTAAATAAGTTATATGGCTGCCCATCTCACAACAGTGACTCTGGGTGGCGTACAAAGCTTAAAACCCAACAACTGAAACAATAACCTATGGCACTCCGAGTAAATAACACCTTCCGATCATAAAAATTCATCAACAACAGAATTCTAGTGCCTCACTAGGGATCATGTGTTTTAGTGATTCCAGTCATACAGATGGGCTTTGTACAGATCTGGGCCACAAAATGGTTATTTTTGTTAGCGTGGTAGAAGCTGGTTCTGATTTACTTCATAATCTGCATTCCTGTGAGTAGTGGGGGGGCATTTCTCTTATGTCAGTGAATAAATCACAAGCTTTGTGTATTGCTTCTTTGTTCTGTATCAAATGGTAGAATATAATACTAAAAATTCAGGGATTTTTAAACTGTGTTAGTGATTTGGAAATAAAATTAACACCAACATGAATAGATTTTAGCAGCTGACACACACAACTATTCTTAGATCCTTGAGGGATGTAGCTTAACATGACTCTGTGGAACATGACTCTGCAGTGTCGGGCAGAGGGTTGGTGAAGGCAGTAAACATCTCTGCTCAAATGAACAGGGAGAAGAGGTGCAGTTCCTAAGGAGAGCACTGTCTCCACAGCCAAATAATGATAGTGTAATTGAATACCATTGCTGTTATTTGGTCCTCAATGCAAATTGATCATTGTTATTTCTGGCAACATGTCAGTGACAATTATTAAACTTCTATTAAAGGAGATGACTGCAGGTGGTAGCATAACTTTATTGTGGAGTCCTTGGTGCTCTCTGAGCTTGGTTGTTTTCTTGCAGACATTTCATTACCTGACTAGGTAACATCATCAGTGCTAGTGAGTGTGGGGCTTGCTCCCTGTTTCTACACGGTAGCTCCCCCTGCCAGTGTTGGTGGGGGTGTGGTTTTCTCCTTGGTAGTTCCTTGATTAGGGTATTGTTTTCTGCTTGATTGTCTGGAGTTAATCCCTGCTTACTTGGGTGTAGGCTGCTGGAGAGAATGTGTT